AAATTGGTAATAGTATCTTTATTGTCTTTTCTCACAGACGGGTCAAGAAGTGCAGTCAATAAATCCACACATGTGTTAAAGATTTCTCTACTAAGAAGCCTTTGCATCATCAGTATACAGTGGGGTCTTGACTTGAGAACTTAATCCGTATTGGAAGGTGGTTCTCAAGTCAAAAAGTTCTCAGGTCAAATCTGCATTTCCCATAGGAATGCATGGAAAACCATTTGATCCGTATCTGCTCTTTTCCGTCCATCGAAACTAATGGGAAGCTGCTATTCTGCCTTCGACCACTAGAGGGGTATATTTTGTTTCTTTTTTTTTCTTAGGTCAAGAAAGGTTCAGGGAAGGCAGGGAAAATACAGTCCAGGCAGTACAGTACCAGGCAGCCTGAAGACTGTCTCCCAATCCACTCTCTAAACGCTGAGAGGAGTGAGGAAACAGACAGGCACCCCTTTCACTGGCCAACAGTTAACTGAAAGTTCAAATTTTGCACTTTCCCTGCCTACCATGTGGTTTTTTTCAGTTCTTAACTCAAATCTAAGTACTTAAGTCAAGTCAATATTTTCCTATGAGAGTGGTTCTTAAGTCAAAATGTTCTTAACTCAAGCCGTTCTTAAGTCAAGACCCCACTGTACAGTATAAACTAAAAGAGTAAATTGGTACTAGTTAAAATGTTGGTGCTTGTATTCCTTTTCACACGCCTGTCACATGACAATGTGGACAATAAGCAGAAAGTCACTGCAGCAACTTACAGTTTGGTTTATGCAGGCATATGTGAGCAAAAGGATTTGGGCCATTATATCTGAATCAAGAAGGCTACCTGGAGCAGGAAGATGTCATGGTTGCCAAGGCCTTCCCTTTCCTGCCACACACAATCCATCCCACCTGATCACAAAGGCGGTACAGATCTTGCAAAGACAATGTAAAGATTAGCCTCAAGGATCATCTTGGAGAAGGGGAAGAGATGGAGGTGGTGATAATGGTGGCTAACAGTCTTCCCTTCTGGAATCATGTGGGAAAGTAGTAAATGTACATTGCCACCTTTCATGTAAACATGCACTTGAACACTCCCTAGAGGTTGCTGATCCAAAATTGTCCATGAATATGTACATCATTCCTTATGGCTTTGCAGGAGAATATTGCTTCCCTCAGCTTCTGCTGAAGTCGTCTTGCATTCACTGGTCCACAGAATGTAAGCCCTTTCCAAGGTCTCCTCACTGATGTCATTGAATATATCTGGAAAGCAAGATTTGTGGATAATATTACTGCCTGTCATTCGTACAGCATCTAGGAAATAGGTTCACACCATGTCAGAACCCTGAGTCAGCTGGTTCTATATTGTCTACACCAGTGGTTCCCAATCTTGGGTAACCCAGGTGTTCTTGGACTTCAGCTCAAAGAACCCTTCTCCACTAGCCACGCTGGCCTGGATTTCTGGAAGTTTATTCCAAGAACATCCGGGTTGGGAACCTCTAGTTTACGCTGTAGTGAATGGAAGTGACTCTCCAGGGATTCTGTCTGGAATCTTTCCCCACCCTTCTCTTCTCCAGGCAAAGAAGGTGCTTTGTTCCTGAATTACTTACCACCTTTCCCCAAAAGGTACAGCACCCTTTCAGTGTTGGCTTGCACCTTACAGTGTTGATTCACTGAAGACCTTTGTTGAGAACACACTAAGATTTGCCTGACTTTCAGCTGGAGTGAGAACATGAAGGGAGACACTTACCTCCCTCCTGCAAGCCACCACCACACTTTCTACCCAGTTTCTAATGTAATGTATGTAATACATGCACACACGAACATGCCTGTATTCATACATATTGCAGAGCACCAGACAGGGAGGAGATGGGAAAAGATTTCATTGCATGGACACACCTATAACTTTGCACAAGGTGGAAAGAATACGAAAGAAAACTAGATAGTGTTGCTATTTAACTGGGAAGAAACCAACCTGAAACATGTACCGTTTGAAAACATGAAATCAATCGCTGCAATTAAATTGCTTCCAGATATGAGGAAAATAAAGAAATACACTGAATAAGAGCATAACAAGTTTCAGTTTTATCAAACACTTTCAGTGGGTTCAGCAGGACACACTTTCTTACCGCACTGCAGCTCTTTGATGCGGACATGCTAAGGTTTTCCTGGGTTGTGTGGGGAGGCGCCCTCATCCCTACCATACTTAAAGCCCTACCTTTGTTCTGCCTATATCTCCTAAACAAAAACTCCAGTGAAGCATTGCATGACTTGATCTCTATGCTAAAGCTTGCCCACTTTCTTGAGTGCTCACCTCTGTGCATTTTGTGTGCTGTTCATTGATTCCTTGATTGTCTTTGGGATTAGTCTCAGGGTTGTCCATGGGTGAAATGACTACATAGTGCCTTTTACCTGCCTAACTACTTAAATCAATGGTTCCTAACCTTGGGTCGCCAGAGGTTCTCAGACTAAAGTCTTTCTGAAGTCTCCCAAGGAAGCATGCATCCTTGGTCTCGTTTTGTAATGGGAATTGCATATGCTAGTTAAATGCATTTGACACTAAGCAAAAGGGAATTACCCAGCCTTAATGCAATTACTTGACGTTGCCTGTTTAATTACATCTCAGAGGTTGCATAATAATTTTGATGGTTGTATAATATCTCAAGGAAATGCTTTGTCAGAGTTTATTAAGGGGCTGTAATTAAAAGGAAACCCAATTAAAAGGAAACCCAATTAAAGCTGTAAGCATGTAATTATAAATTGTGAGAGACAGGCTCACATATTATCTAGCCTCCCTTTTGTGCTTCTGCAGCTGCTTTCAAGTGCTTCTTCCCCCTCAACCCTTTTCTTGTTCTCACAAACATCATCATCATAATTGAATTTTTTAAAGGGCTGGCCCCTCCTAAAACAGTTCTTGAATTAATAATTTCAATATTGTGAAAGGAGTTCTATCCAGGAGAGGGGGAATATACTGAACAAGAAAAGAAAAGAAAGAGCCTATTTCATGGGAAATGTGTACAGCAATTTATGTTAAGTGCTAATAAAAAGTACAGGACATGAAGAGGTTCCGGTTGGCCAAAGATGGCATTGTGTTTGAGAGGGACTCAGAAGTGCTCCCAGATGGACTTCATCTACCACAGTAAACTTTGACACTTGTTATTGTCACCAGCTTCCAGCAGCATTTGGAAGTTGCATTGTGTATCCCTCCATTCTGCCCGGTGTAGCATTACTCCAGTGCATTATGGGATATTAACTTTATAGCTTCCAGGAATTTTAGGGAATAATAATGTATCCACTAAACTTCCAGTTGCACACCGCTAGCCCCATATTCTGGTAACTGTACCCAGTGAATCTATTTCCTTTTTTTATCCATCCATCCATCCATCCATCCATCCATCCATCCATCCATCCATCCATCCATCCATCCATCCATCCATCTGGCATATGCACATACATACAGGTATAGTTCAGGTTTTAGACTATAATGATGGAAGTAAAGTACCCCTTAGCAGCAAGAGGTAGACCAGTTCTGCTGACAGATCTGTCCCTGCAATATGTATGCAGTAAAATATTTGGATACCTGGTGCCGTGTAATGAAACAGAGCGACAGACTGGGACTCAGAAAACCTTGGTTCAAATCCCTGTTGGCCATGGAAACTCACTGAGGGAATGGAACTGGTAAAACTATTCTTTCAATGTTTTTCATTTACCTTGAAAGCCCTATCAGGGTCACAATAAGACATTTCCAACTTGATGGTGTAGAACACACACATGCAACAAGACGATAAATCAAACAACATTTTTAGTATCGCGAGGGCCAGTGCAGAGCAGTGATTCGAATGTAACTGGAACTTGGGAAGTTAGAAGATTTTGTGTCTAGTTCTCACTGAAATGGGGAACTAGCACACACATGCAACAAGATGATAAATCAAACAACATTTTTAGTATCGCAAGGGCCAGTGCAGAGCAGTGATTAGAATGTAACTGGAACTTGGGAAGTTGGAAGATCTTGTGTCTAGTTCTCACTGAAATGGGGAACTTATGGGGTGACCTTGGGCTCCTCATGTTTTCTCAATTTGATCAGCCTTGTAGGGTCATTGAAGCTAACATGGGGAGATGGAAGGGCATGCATGTTACTTTGAGCTTAGTGGAAGGAAGTTGGGAAAAGTGTAAAGGGCCACAAATAAATGTCAACTCTTACTCTGTGAGGTAGAGCAGCAAATGTCCTTCCCCTCAAGGCACTTAGCAGTCAAAGCCAGACAAGTTATGCTGGTGCATGGGGAGAAAATCCTATAACTATCATTCCCCTTTTCTCGTATGTCAGGAAAAAAAAAAGAATTCAGTTAAATAACAAATGACTTGTTGCCCTTTCATGCCACCTAAAATCAGGTGCCTGCAGCAACTGCCCTACAGTTGTCCCCGTTTTCACTCTTTAGGACAGTTTGGGAACTGGAATGTTATAACATTTTCCATCTTGCCTTAAAACAAATAAGCGTAATAAGCATAATAAGCGTACCTGCTGTTCCTAGTCCTGTTGGAAGAGGCATTCTCATCTGGCCGGCACTATGCTTCAACCTTTCCATCAGTGCCTTTTTTATAAGATGCCACGTGCATTCTTTATGCCATATGGGGAGCTCCAGAGAAGTCATGCACTGAATAATGTGTGTTTTCTCTTTCTCACTTAAGAAGCCCTTTGCATAGGAGACGTAAGTCATGAAAGCCATGTCGACATTCACAGCTTCTCCGTGCATCAGTGATGGCAAAGCCCTCTGAAAGGAAGATTGCAACTAGATGTAGTTATTGTGGGGTTAGACAGGACAAGAGTAGGGGGACTTGACTTTGGGAAAGACACATTTTTTGTTAGGGAAACATAAAGTAACAGTCGAAGGAGCCTAGAAAGGCTACGTCTCAGGGTCAAACTATGTGTCAGGGAAATTCATGTTTACAGCCAGGATCAGAGCTGCCAACACTCCGTTCTCCTGATCTGTGTTTCTGTGTTTATATCTCTGTGCAAGCGGTATTTTTGTAGGCTTTGTGAACATAGTGCCAAAATGTCTCTACATGTAGAAACTGAATGGCCTCTTAGATGTTAACTAAACCTCAGCTCCTGATCAGCTGAGACTTTGCAGTCTAGTGCAGTGGTGGTCCACCTGATGTTCAGGACTTCAGCTCCCAGTATCCTTGAGTATGAGCCACATTGGTTCTGTGTTTCATAGTTGAAATCCAAAACATTTAGAAAAGTAAGGGCTGATAATCATTGGTCTTGTGGATATGCAGTTGTGATATAAGCACCCTTCACTGGTTTGTATTCATTGTACAGTGGTGCCCCGCTTAACGATTACCCTGCTTGACAACCTATCCGCTTCACAACTATGTTTTTGCGATCACTATTGCGATTGCAAAACAATGTTTTAATGGGCAAAATCCGCTTTACGACGATCGGTTCCCTACTTTGGGAACCGATTCTTCACATTATGACAATCCAAACAGCTGATTGTCGGGTTTTCAAAATGGCCGCCAGCTGTTCAAAATGGCTCCCCACTGTGTTCAAGATGGATTTTTCACTGCACAGGCATCAGAAAATGGCTGCCCTATGGAGGATCTTCCCTGGACGCTGAGGTATTTCACTCATTGGAACACATTGAACTGGTTTTCAATGCATTTCAATGGGCTTTTTTATTTCGCTTGATGAGGATTTCACTCTACGGCGATTTCACTGGAATGGATTATCCTCGTCAAGCGAGGCACCACTGTATGTGCGATTTCATGTGAAGAGTAACTGAAAAAAGACTATTACGCTAAAGAAGAGTATTCAGCTAATGGTTTTAACCTGTGAAGTCCTAGATGGCTTGGGTCCAAGCTGTCTCAAGGACTTGATGATTCTGCCTGGGTATTGAAATCATCAGGGCAGGCCTTTCTCCCTTTCCTCACAGGAATGGGAGAGGGCCTCCTCTGTTGCTGCTCCCAGTCTCTAGAATTCCCACCCATGGGAAGCCAGGCTGGCCCCATCTTTCCTGTCTTTCCGCCAGCAGGCAAAGACCTTTATGTTCAGTCAGGCTTTCCCTTAGTGACTAGCTGTCTGAGAGAGGTTTTAATGGACTGTTGTGTCTTGCTGCTCTAAAATGTATTTTCAGTATTGAATTTATTTACAGCTTTCAATACAATATTTGTTTTATTTTAAAATATTTGTATATTTGCCATTTTTAAGTTTTAAATATTGTCATTTAATGATATAAGCTGCCTTGGATGCTTTTTATGAGGAAAATTGGGGTTAAAATATTTTAAATAAAATAAAATAAAGAGCACTGCTGCCAGTTTTTACTTCATACTTATTTAAAATTTAAAAATAAGGATAGTACGTATTTGTGGCTGCAGCAGATCTGTTAAGGATTACAGGCAGGCAGGGCAAAATGTTCACAAGACTCCCACAAACCAAACAGACAGCTCTACAAGTCACATCTGTCCAGAGAGATGTCCTATTACAAATTTATCATCATTGTAGGCCACCCTCATTCAACCAGTAGATGGAATGGTAGGGGCACGGGAAGTCTCTCACAACAAATATACAATCCTCCACTCACCATTTCCAGTTCTGGGCTTATAAGGTGACCAAAGTCGACCAGTCTGTTCAGATCATCTTCCCAGAGATTAGGAGCAAGCTCTTCCAACATCATTTCAATGGCAATTCTGGTTGTCTTCAGTGCAGCATCCCCATGATCCACTAAGCCATTGTGTGATTGGAACTTGGTGTCCAGTAGGAATTTCCCATGGGTCTTCAGCAAGTCAAGCAGGCCTTTGTGCTTCATCAGCGCCATCTTGAATGAGAGAAAGGAAAGATGACATTACAGCAACCAACACGATGGTCATCAAATAATACAGGCGAGAGAGAGAAACAGGAGAAGTGATGAGGAGTATCCAGAGGGATACAAAGGACAGGGACAGTATGAAGGAATTAAGTAAAAGGGCAGGGCATCTTTGTGCAAAAAGAGGGAAGCTTAAATATAAAGACTATTTCATACTTTTAGAATTTCCCCAAGTCCATTGGAAATATGCTGGCGTGGGATTGTTTGGATGAAGGCTCTGTCCAGGAAAGTGGCAACAGGTGGAACATAACTCCCAAGCTTGTTTTTGCATTGAAGGAAATTGACACCATTCTTGGCTCCTACACTGGCATCGACGTATGACAAGAGGGTGGTTGGAACCCGGATATAAGGTGTGCGTCTCCGATAAAGGGATGCTGCCAGTCCCACAATGTCCAGGCACACCCCTCCTCCAATCGCTATGATGGGTTCAGCGCGCCTGTCAAGGCCGAAGCTTTGCACTTCTTGCAGGATGTCAAGCAGCAAATCCATGGATTTGGTTTCTTCGTTGGTGGGCACGGAAAGGATTTTATACTCAATATAGTTGGCTTCAAAATACTTCCTCACTAGTGGGCCATAAAGCTCGTCAACAGTCTTATCTATTACAATGAAACGTCTTTGTGTTTCTCTCCTGCTCAGAGCAGTCTCCAGTTCCTCCTGATTTCTGAGGTGCCCATAGAGCAGGGTCCTGTTGGAGGGGTCCAGGAGATGGCATGTTTCCACCACTTTGTAGCAGAAGTAGATGGGTGCTTCAACGGTCCAGGACACCTCACCATCGGAGATCATTTCAGTTCTGTTAAGAATTAGAAGCAGACAGGTGAATGATATAAAACAGCTATTATTTGTTTTTCATCGTAATTAGCAATAATCAGTTCTCACTTATGGCAAACCTTTTCAGGGTTTTTCCCGGTAGAGAATACTCGGATGTGATGTACCCTTCTTCCAAAGGCATGCTGGAAATGTGCAGCTTGCCCAAAAGGCCACACAGGCTTTCTGTGTGGTTTCTCCATCAAAGTTTTTCTATCAAAAGTGCAAACTTTCGATGACAATGACTTCATCAGCCACCCTGATCAACATCTCCCCTCAAACATGGCTAAAACCAGACATTAACATGGGAGTGGGTGGCGGCATTTCTCAGCAAGAAGATATTCTTCCGGATTATGCCAGCTGTAATGCAAAATATTCTATAGAATGGCTTGCTCATGAATAAACAATTAAGACCCACTGGCTTTACGAAAGACCTACTCCTGGTTGAGATGATACAGTGAGATCATGCAGATCACACAGCTGCCTGTGTTTTTGACTCTGCTTGAAGACACTGTTATAGGTAAAGATAAAGTTCCCCTTGACGTATAGTCCAGTCGTGTCCGACTCTAGGGTGCCGTGCTCACCCCTGTTTCCAAGCCATAGAGCCAGCGTTTGTTCATAGACAGTTTCTGTGGTCACGTGGCCAGCGCGACTAGACATGGAACGCTGTCACCTTCCCACCGTGGTGGTACCTATTTATCTACTTGCATTTTTACTTGCCTTCAAACTGCTAGTTTGGCAGGAACTGGGACAAACGATGGGAGCCCACTCCATCGCGTGGATTCGATCTTACGACTGCCGGTCTTCCAACCTTACAGCACAGAGGCATCTGTGGTTTAACCCACAGCGCCACCACGTCCCTTCTGTTATAGGAATCGTCAAAAGAGTTCCAAATTTATCACCACACCACTGTTGGCTGCTGTGCTTTATATTTAAGAGCTACACAAAAGTATCTTTCCCTGCAACCCTATCTGAGTTTTCTAATCCCTCACAGGACTATCTTCCTCAAATAGAGTTTTTGTGTAGACATCCTTCAGTCTCAAGAGGAGTTTTTGTGTAGGCATCCTTCAGTCTCAAGAGACTAAAATAGGGGTTTAGGCAGTTAAATTTCCATGCTGCAGTAGAATGTGCGGTAGAGTACAGATGTATTGGCTAGCTCTGCCTTCCCTATCCATCACATGCTGGAGGGTGGATGCAGTGGAGAGCCAGGCTTCTAAATTGGATGGGAACCTAAATAGATGAAGAAAGTCCCTCATCCACCTTCTTTTCCATGGACTATAATGGAACCAGTATGAAAAGGGCAAGCGGCTGATATCCCATTTTCTCCATACAATTTTAACCATTTTAGATCATCTTGTGCAATCCAGGGCCTCGCTCCTCCCTGTATTACGAGCTTTTTCCTTGGCATCTCCATTGCACAATAAACCTGTTTTGTTGTTGTTTGTTGTCAAGGTGTCAAAAGACTCCTGGCTGCTTCTGATCTTGAGTCATTCAGACAATTTCTGCGTTTGCTTAAAGCCTTTCAGTTCTCTTGGTTGGGTAGAGATAGTATTACCCGTGGGCTACATACAGGCTCACATCCATTTGTATGCCACCTGCTCACCCAGGCATCCCACCCACCCATCCCATCACTACTGAAAATAGGAATCATTGGACAAAGAAACACTGTTTTGAAAGCTGTCAGGCAAGATGCTAGCCCACCTATGCATTAACTTCCCAGCCCCTTCCAGATTTGTGTGTGTGTGTGTGTGTGTGTGTGTGTGTGTGTGTGTGTGTGTGTGTGTGTGTGGGTGTGTGTGTGTGTTTTGTGTGTGTTTTGTGTGTGTGTGTGTGAGAGAGAGAGAGAGAGAGATCCCTGTGTCCAACTCCAGCTAACAATCTGATTGCTGTGTTTTGGACCCATTGAAGTTTCCTGACCCTTGAGCTTGTCCTTCCATCCCACTGCTAGATTTAGTTGTTCAGCATCACTAGAAATAATGTGGCTGAAAGCAAGTAGAGGCAGGACAAACAGGACAAACAAGACGAAAACCACTGTTGTTTCTGCAAATGTTATGTAGCAATTAAATGAGTCAACCTAAGTTACTTTGCCAAATTATCTACACCTAGGAATTTTTGTAAGGGATGCCTTTGGCTACCTTTTCCTCTTCTTTGGTGACAGATAGAGTCCATCTTATGGCTAATATTTTCCAAATTTGTAGCATCTCCCAACTGCTAACAGAGTGTCCTTTTGTGAAGCGCAACCTAAAAATCAAATGCTGTGACAAACCTCCCGCAAATACAAAAGAGACTGTTTTCTTGATCTTGGTTTACCGAAAATATAAGGAAATATCTAAAAGAATGTCCTGTGCTTAATATCTAATGGGTAAAAATGGGTTTTATTGTGAAGAGAAGGAGATCATCCTACCTTCAAAGGTTAATTAACTGGAGAGATGACTTTCCTACGGAGAAAGCAATGTTTGTCCTTAGGGGAAAATTTCTCAGACATCCAGTCATCTATCACCTTTTTTCTCTTTTTTTAATTTTGCTGTGGGAACAATGTGAATTTCTTTTGAAGTTTATGACAAATGTATTATGCTTTTGTCTCCTCCTGATGGTTTTTAGTAGCACTGTATTTGTTTTTCCTCCATTGGTGTAGTTCATTACCCATATCTGTGAATCCAGAAATATCTGCATAGTGGGAAAAGCCTTTCTCTATCAATTTATTCCCCACCTTTCTACTTCAATCCCACTTTATCTGAAAGACATCCCAGTCATTAGCCTGGGATGGCAAATGGCACACATGAGAATCTCCCCCTTTCCAGGAAGCTTTTATTTGTTGTTGTGTCCTTAGGGTTTTCAAGGCATTTGAGATGTCCAAGGAGTGACTTAAAGAAGGCTCCCCTCCCCTCTATGAGTTTCCATGGCTGAGTGGAGATTTGAACCCAGATCTTTTAATCCGACACTCTATTCACTAGGGTATCTGGACTCTCTTATGGGCCAGATTCCGGCCTGCAAGAATCGTATTAGATTTGTGAGCCAGAGCTCCCCTCTGCATTCAACGATACCTCCAGTTCAGCTGGTCCAAAACACAGAGAGAAGCACATTCTTTCTGCTGTGTTTTGTTATTGAACTCTGTGTTTTGCCTGTTTTGTGCACAGCAGACACTTTAAATAAAATTCTGCCACTTAGTAGTGTGTTTAATCAGTGGTTAACTCTACAGAGTTGAATAGGTCTTTGTCCCTATAAGTCTTAAGGGCAAACTGAGATAATGGCCCAAATCTTCTTCTGTAGTTATGCAATGGCATTTCTTGTGGAGACACACTTCCATGGACATTATCAGTTGCATGCTGAGCCACACAACTCAGCACACAACAGAAAAAAAATATCTGCAGTGATTTCTTAACTTTAGGCAATTCATCTCCACAAGTTATGCTTTTGTGCGGTGCCAGCATAGCTAGGCAAGAGGATTTGGGCCAATATGTTTAGCGCATATTTAGAAGTGATGCCATCTTGAGTAGTGAAATACATCTGCTTGTGATTGTCTTTAAGCATTTATAATGCATTTAGTATGCTCTCTCTCTCTGTGTATGTGTGTGTGTGTGTGTGTGTGTGTGTGTGTGTGTGTGTAAAAGATCTTAGACTTAAACACAGGCTTAATTTGCAAGACTGATTGCTAAGGTATGTAACTGATTAAATGCAGTTATGAAAATGAAAGTATATCGGATAAAGGAATATGCATTCTCCTTGACATCACATACTCTCTTGAAGTGTTAGGCTGCAGATCTGAGGAGAGGCTGCTAAATCCTCTTAAAATCAATACAAATTAATTGACCTGTGTACTTCAGCTGCCATTCAGACACACATTATTTGCTACGTGTACATCCCCCACTTTCAGTTGTACATTATTCTCAGATTGGCTTGCAAGGAAAGAAATAAACCTGACCAACATTCTCTCTAAGATTTGCTCCTGCTGTGTTGGAGCCTCTGTCCATGTGCATGTGGGGAGGGTCACTTGAAACCCAGAACTCAAGAGGCTGCCACTGCACAGCCTTGATGGAGCTCTGCATGTGCGCACATGTGTGCACAGTTTAGAGAGAATGTTGAAGGGGGTGACTTGAAACCCAGAACTCAAGAGGCCTCAGCATTGGCTGCAACTGCACAGCCTTGATGAAGCTCTGCATGTGCACACATGTGTGCACAGTTTAGAGAGAATGTTGAAGTGGACAATACTTACATGGAAGGATGCACTGCTAAACACAGTTGGTTGCTTGTCTATTAAAAGCTTTAAAATAAACCTATGTGTCTGCCTGCATGTAGGGCTAAGCTAGTAATGTGCAAGTCCTGCCCTCCAAATGTTTCCAAGTATGGACTTTGACTTCCATATGTTGCCTGCAAATACTGCAGCCGATGATGAGTCCATGGATTTCGGGCAGCAAGGGTGGCTCTTTGCCTTCCACCCCGGATAACATGAGACTGTTCAGTCTCACGAGACTCGCAAGTAGGAGTGGGGAACGCCTAAGCTACTTAAGGGGTGTTTCACCCTCACACCGCCCTCTTCTTTTTCAGGCACCGAGGAAGATAGAGAGAGCTTTGCTGCGGGCTGAAATTTTCTGCTGCATCACTGGCGATTTGAGCCTTGTGGAATTAAGGGAGGGTGGCATCAGCTCCCTCCCATGGTTTTGTAGATTTACATTTAGTTCTGTATGTAGTTTGATTCTAGTTCTGTTTATTGTTCATTGAGTTAACTGAAAGAGGGAAAGTGGCAGCGGCTCCCACCAGCCACACTTCGGCGTGAGGAGTTTCACCTAACAATCACCTAACCCTGGCTACAAAGGAAAAAATCTGAAAAGACGAATACATAGATGTTTTCGACCTACTTAACAAAAATGTTGAGAAGAAAGATCTAAACAAAGAAGATGAAAAAGAAAAGCATAGAAGGAAAAAGGCAGATAGGATATGGGCCAACTAGCTTCCTGGGTTTCTGATACATGCAGGAATTATAGTTAAAGCCCAGCTTTGGAGGGCTCAAGCTCTCTTTCAATACTTAGACATTATATATAGAGCCTACACAGATTTTTTGGCCAGTTGTGGCTTCAGTATGATCAAGTGTTCCGCATGCAGAGCGCTATACATCCAAACATGCTGGGATGAGCCCCAACCAGGTTTGTATCTTCAGCACATGACCCCAGCCATGCCAAACACTGGCAACAGATTCAATAGTAGTCATTTGAATAGAAAAATTGCCACTACTCAAATTTCCCACCCTGGTGCGGGGCAGGCGGTTCAACCCCGCATGCCTTGCTTTTAATACAATTCCAGGAGATTTTGTGCAAGGAACCAATGTAGATTTAGGCACGAGTGCATTACCTGTGGAGGGCAGCACTCAAATTCAACCTGCTTCAAAGCAGGTGCACAGCATCAAAACAAGGTTTCAGGGGGTGGTAAAAAGCCTAACAGCGGTGGGGGTACACCTGGAAAAGGGACCCAGTCCAATTAACATTAGGGTTTAAAAGAATGGTTGAGTATTTACCCTCATAAAGAAGATTCCAGATATTTGTTGGACGGCTTTAGATACGGGTTCAGAATACCGGCTTTAGGAAAATGCAAAGCGTTTATTGCACAGAATCGCCTATCAATATCTTACAGTATAGAGGGATATGCCCAGTTTAAGCCACATGAGCATATTTAGAATTCAGAGGACAAGACGCAGGATATTTCTTTCAGCATGCTGATAACTCACCTTTGATTAAATATCAGTTTTGGAAGTTGACAGACTTAGCTTTAGATAGCGTAGGTGTTATGGGTATCCATTCGTTTAGGATTGGTGTAGCTTCCACTGCAGCAGCCCTGGGTTATATCTCAGATGACATTAAGTGATTAGGTCAGTCTTGCAGCATGGTGATAACTCACCTTTGATTAAATATAAGTTTTGGAAGTTGACAGACTTAGCTTTAGATAGCGTAGGTGTTATGGGTATCCATTCGTTTAGGATTGGTGTAGCTTCCACTGCAGCAGCCCTGGGTTATATCTCAGATGACATTAAGTGATTAGGTCAGTGCGTAGGTGTTATGGGTACCCATTCGTTTAGGATTGGTGCAGCTTCCTGGGTTATAGCTCAGATGACATTAAGTGATTAGGTCAGTGGTCATCTTCAAGTTATCTAAGATATATAACAACCCTACCTAACCTGTAGGCAGGGACCTGGTCTTGTGTTTTTACAGGTCCTCTAGGGTCTGGAAGATGAAGGCACATTGTAATTGTCGGTCACAGCTACATGCATTGGGCAGTGTTATGCTTCCGCATCCTCATGTGGGAGCAATTTGGGGCTTGGAGCTCATGTGTACATCATCTGGAAAGGGCTGCATGGCATGCAGTGGATCCAGTTGTGCAGGTTGGTGGCATTTGGCCAGTTTCTACCAGATGTGCTGGTAGTGCACCTTGGAAGCAATGATTTGCCCAAGATTCCTGTTAAGGCATTGATCCTGGACATTATTCGCAACCTTAGATGGTTGAATGCCAGGTATCCTACTATGCTGATCATGTGGTCCATGATCATTCCTCGGTTAGCCTGGTGAGGTGCCAGGAATATTTCCGATGTTAACACGGCCCAGAGGGGCATTAACAGAGAAGTATGCAGAGTTGTCTGCAGCAGCCTTGCATCGGTGATAGGTCACCAAAGGATCCAAATGGATAAACCCGGATTTTTTAGAAAAGACGGAGTCCACCTTTCTGATTTGGGCTTAGATGACTTCTTGGAAAACATCAAAGGGGGCCTATTTGTCAAGCTCAAGTAACTTGGTGGCAGGAATGGGACATAGCATGGCTAGTCCTATGCTGTGGCGGGGAGTGTGGAAAAAACAGGGATTTTCAGTATGTCCCACTGTAATTTCAGGTAAGCCAACAGTGCATCCAACCTCCCGGCGCTGCGGATCATGCAATTACAGTGCCTCTGGCGGGAAGATGTGCTGGGCCACTTCTGGATCAACAGTCATCAACTAAAGATGGCTTGAGGTCTTGGGGTGTTTATTAGTAGCCATCTGGATTCCTGCTGTCTTTAAGATTGTTGGAACCTGGGGCCGGGGACTCCCACATTTGTTGATCAAGGAGTATTTGGATACCCCTGCCATTTACCTGTTTCCACACTAGAGCAGGCCCCTCCTTTTGCCAAAGGATGGCAAATTCGAATCTGAATTTAAATCAATAAAGTATGGCCCATATTTAACCTATATCATTGTCTCGCGTCTTTATTCCAGGGTTGGGAGGGCAAAGCCTGCAGAGAGCTTTGTAATGATGTTCATTTGGAGCCTGTCCTTATTAGTGTTCTCAGTCACACCAATTGTATTCACCCATAGTTACAAAAACCTCTGCTCACAACATGGATGAATTTCTAAGACAGTGTTAGATGAATATGGACATTCGGGGTGGGCTTTAAATATGTGCCCATGCTCCAACCTCCCATTTAACCCTACATGCAAGGAAGTGAATGCCTGAGTAGAACTAACATGCATATACAGAAATGATGTCACTATTTATTTATTTATTTTATTTATTACATATACAGAAATGATGTCACTATGACATCATGGTGAAAAACCAGGATTGTTGCTAAGTCTGAGTGACATCCAAACATAGTCCTACAGACAGGGGATACACACACCCTAATGCAGTGAATTACCTACAACCCTCTGACTTCATTGGGTTTTTTTTCCTTATCTCTTTACTTATTTCAGCATCTGTCAGTAAATGAAAGTTTCCTACATTTGTTGCAGTCCACTGTTATTTTGAAACTGTTTCAGAGACCTCTGGTTAGGTGCTCTACGAAAATTTGTTACGTGTGATAACTTAAGGATGTCTTTATGTAGGGTTCTATGGCCATCTGGTTCAAAACGCCAAAGAAGCATAGGGCTTAGAGTTTCTTAGGATTTAATGTAAAGAAATTCCTGGCAGCAGCCAGCAATGTGCAAGTACTCACTCATTTCCCCTGAAGGCAAAAGATGAATTAATTAGTTCACCCTCTTTTGAATAATACTGACTGATGGCGAGGGCTCAAACTTCACTTTATATTAAATGTGACGTGTGTGGGCAATCTTTTCTATCTTCCTTCCTCTAAGGTATGTGGGCCCTTATCCAGACTGCAGCCACAGCAGACCCTTTCCTTCCCCCCTGCTCAGTTTCTCAGACCCCCACAGAACAAAAGACAAAGACAAAAGACAGTACAAAAACAAAGGGTTAAAACAAAGGAAGAAAAGCTTCCATAGAACCAGTGAGACTTTTGAAAAAACAAAACCAAAAACCTCCAGACCAACCCAGAGCGCAATTTTAGGAAGCAGGACAGGAGATGCCCACCCTGTATAATGATGGTCCCAATCTGGGTCATGCCTTTAGAATAAATGAGAAAGGGTGGACTTGATGCTACACCAATAATAGCATGGCTGACATCCTGTTGCACAGGTACACAGGTGGTCAGAGACAGGGTGCCATTAAGTGAAGAACTCTCCAAAGAGATTATCTTTTGCACTCCAAATCACCGATGGAGATTTCCTAACTGAAGCAGTTCACTTCCAAAATTTGTATAATGCACGCAACAGGGTTTCATTCGACATGCACCATCTTTTCTAAAAGAGGAATTACCAAAATCCTCAAATAACTCAGTATTTGAAATAGAAAGACCTTGGGGCATGGTGGGGGAATTCAAATGGAGGAGAAACCAAAGCGAACAAATGCCTCCACCCAGGGCTTTGAGAGTTTATCTGTTACCAGGCCATGTTTGAATCCCTGTGCAGTCATCCACACATTAGTGGTGAATTAGGTCTCTCTCTCTCTCTCTCCCTCTTGCCCCTTAAAGGCTCCTCATCTTTAGCAGTTACGTGGCTGGTAAGTACTAGATGCTTTTCTGTATGCTGAGTAGCTGTAACCATTGGATTTGGTGCAAATAGCTCAGTGGTTTAGGCATCTGGCTGCATAGCCAAAGGTTCAGAGTTTGATCCCCTGTGTGCCTCCTGTGAGTAGGGGCAGCCTGCGTGGTCTTGGGCAAATTGTAATTTAATTGCAATATGGTGTAATTACTAAGGATTATATAACTACTGAGGGCCTTTTTCTAATAGTTTCATTAGTGGTCTTCTTGATTGCTACACTGTTAGATTTTTCTTTCTTTTTGGCCTGTATTTTCATTCTACGATAAACTTTCAGGTTTAAAAAGAGCTACCTGAGTAGCAATGACACCCATCTACACAACAGATGAGAACTCGTAACCTAAACTTAATACACGGCCCCATCCCAGATATTATTAACTAATCCTGGTGGGCAGTTGGAGGGAGGGGGAGAGATAGTGCCTTATTTGCTACTCTTGCAACCTCTTTCTCTACTTACATTTTAGCCTGTGAGACAGTGATATCGTCCTCAGCATCAGGAATGGCTTCACCTTTCTTGATCCGATACCATGTGCTTTTGACCCGCACGAGCTGGAAGTCTGTCTGCCTGGAAGCCTTGGGCATGACTGTAGTGGAATTTGCATCAGGCAAGATCACTTCTTTGGATGCTGGCATTGTTACAACTTCTCTTTCAAGAAGCATCTGGCTGGTGAGGTTTTTCTTTGTGCTTATAAATACTCCACTTCAGCCATCAGTTAGAATGGGAGGTGTTTTCCCAAATGGATAAAAAGGTTGGGTGGGGAGGGAGAGGGAATGAATTATAAAACTAGCATTACCTAAGCTATGCGCATGAAAGATGGGTGATCAAATTATTCAGATATGTAAGCTCACGTGTGCAGATACGCAAATTGTGAAAAAGCATCTTCCAAAGTTGTGTAACCTCTTAGTTTTATAATGATGAAAAACCACAGTTTTGAAGGCGTGAATTAGCTTCCTACCAGATGCCCTGCAATGCAACAGCAGTCATCAAAACTGAATCATTTTCTGCCACATAAAAGGAGAATACCAGGGATTTACTTGTCTGAACTCCCTGAACTTTTTGATTATAACATGCCTTTATGTAACCCTTGAAGGTATTCAAGATAATGAATATTCAAGATTTATGTAACTCTGATTATATTTATTTATTGCTTCCTACCAGATGCCCTGCAATGCAACAGCAGTCATCAAAACTGAATCATTTTCTGCCACATAAAAGGAGAATACCAGGGATTTACTTGTCTGAACTCCCTGAACTTTTTGATTATAACATGCCTTTATGTAACCCTTGAAGGTATTCAAGATAATGAATATTCAAGATTTATGTAACTCTGATTATATTTATTTATTTATTTNGCCCTTAAGATGTTGAGTGGAATGAGACACTTTGGCCCTGCAGAACAAGAAACATATGTGATAATCTTCAAGGCAATCTTCTCTTTCCTGCGGATCCATACAGCCATCATATTTATATTCCATCTGTCTTGAAAGGAGCTGAGGGAATATATACGTCCTCGATAATTTTATACACAGTAAAGTCCTGTGAGGTAGGCTAATTTTAAAAATTCATGGCTCTCAACCTAAGCTCGGACAGAAAGCGTTGTGACCAATCAGGTGTTTGAGAACAGGATTCCAATTGTCCGCCTCACCATCAAAGTCCAGCACAATTCATTGCAGGAGAACCTTAAAAAGGGCTGAAGAAAGAATGGGGAGAGGGATGAGCCTGAATCACATCAGATCCAATCCTTCTCCAGCCCAGGGACACAGCAGATTCAGCCACAGTGCCAGCAAAAAGTCAGACCATTCCACCTATATAGGCTAAGTGGACTGGCAACTGATGTCTCTTTCTCCACTGGTGACTATGGTGACCACTTACATCTCACCAGACAAGAGACCATCACCAAAAACGAGGAATCTGATTTGGCATAGGACTGCATGTTCTGATGTACGTCTACAGATGAAAAATGAGGATCCAAAAAGGATTGCAGTTAGATTACAGGTGTCCAGATCAAGGTTTTTGCAGTAAAGTTCCCAGATTTTTTTTTTTTGGTCCAAATACGCAGATCTGTGCATTTATAGCTGTCTTCCTTGAATGGGAAAGGTAGAAATGAAGTAATCTGTATGCTGGCCAAATCGGCTGAATCTGCTGTTCAGGTATTCCCCATGGACAGGCAACTCAAGGTTCCTACTCACTCTTCTTATGGTTCTTCTTCTTCTTCAAATCCAACTTAAGATGGATGACCCCTTTAAAAGGAGGATTGTCCTCCAACAGTCCTTGAAAGGCAGGACTGACATTCTTAAGGATGTGTATATACCTTTGAGGTGACATGCCAGCACACTCCACCTCACTTGAGGTAGCTGTCCCGTTTAGGGGTCTGGGACAAGCCATGTGTCCTCCCACACAGGAGAACAGATGGGACTTCAAGAGGAACTGCCAAGGGTTGAGGTGTATGTCTCACTCTGCCCAATGGCAGGGCCAGGCCTGCAAATTTGGCTCCCTGTTGAAGGGACTTAATGATATTTTGCTCTTCTGGATTTCCCTTTTCTGATCACCCCTCTTGTAAGCAGGAGTGTTTGAGGTGTTATGTCCCTTTAGTGCCACATGCTATGAATCATTGTTGTGACACCATGGATGGGGAAACCTGGGTTCAAATCCCCAGTCAAATCAAATTCTTAGGAAATCCAGTTCCTCTTTCTCAGCCTACCCTACTTCACAGGGTTGTTGTGAACATATAGTGTGAAGTGAAGGCCATTCAGTTTCTTGGAGTATGGATCACATACAAATACTGTATATTAAATGATAAACTACCCCAGAATTTCTCCAAAATGACATATCATTCAACAATGCATACATTAATTGTGGAGTCAGAAAATAATACGTTCCACAATAGGTCTTCAAATCCAAAAGAGAGGGACATATCATGCAGTTGCTGCCTTTTCAATTATGTAATGACAACTTCAGCTGTCCCTGAGTGAATTTCCACAGCCTTGCGCCCATTAGAGGGCACCAGCTTTTGCTTATTTGCAGTGTTATTTCTATATTATTTCAAAAAATTCCCAGCATTTCTCGTGTAGAAGAAAAGGAGAAAAAACAACTGACAAAGCTGAGCTAGGAGAAAGCTTTGTCTTGTCGCTGCTGCAGGGCATCTTAGAGGATGGTTGCACAATGGCCATTCCTGGTTGTCCATCTAAACATGGAAGATTCCATGGCTCAGCGTTATCGCTAACTTCACGGTGCATCTTTTTCCACTCCGGCAGATTCTAACTACCAGTGAGACAGTGTTTCCTCATTATTGCCCTTTTACATTCAGGAGGACATAACGCTACTTTCCCCTTCATACTCCAGGCAAAGAAAGTCTGTTATTCAATAGATGCGTAACACCCCACCCCCCTAATGTGTGCTCACTCGGAGACCAACCACCAGCTTACATAAACCCAATACAAGCAGGTGCCACTGCCACCGCCTCATGCTGTCAGAAGCTCTTACACTCCACAGCTACCATACAAAGGAGGTTCTCCAGACACTGCGCAGCTGGTGTTGGGATCCAGCCAAGGTGTTCTGTAACAGAGCCCCGGGGTGATTACTTGTAGTCCACGTGCCAAGAGGAGTGTCCCTGTCCCACACGTGGAGAACGATGCACATTCTCCAGCTGTGTGTGTGTGTGTCTGGCCTCGTACAGGTAACACGCCGCCGCAGCAGCAGCAGCAGCGTCTCCTGAAACTTGGGCAAACTGAACCAAAATGGCACACTTTCCAGGTAAACCTTTGTCCTGACTGACCCTCTTGTTTCCTTTTAAATAAGAATTAAGGTGTTGTTGATCCCTGTGTTTCTTTGGTGGAATTTCTAATGCTCCTGTGAGCGGTTTTTTTTTAGGTTCTCTTTCTGTGTCAGAACTGCTTTCCCCTCTCTCTCTTTAAAAACCTGGGCAAACTGAACCAAAATGCCACACTTTCCAGGTAAACCTTTGTCCTGACTGACCCTCTTGTTTCCTTTTAAATAAGAATTAAGGTGTTGTTGATCCCTGTGTTTCTTTGGTGGAATTTCTAATGCTCCTGTGAGCGGTTTTTTTTTAGGTTCTCTTTCTGTGTCAGAACTGCTTTCCCCTCTCTCTCTTTAATTCTACCAACTAATTTATAACCCAGAAGTCCTTTCCATATTTTAGTAGTCATGTCTGAAGCTTGAAGAAGTTACATCTTTCGGACCACATCTCTCAGAATTCCCAGCCAGCATGGCCACTGCTGATTGACGTAAACTAACCTCAGGCAGGGCTAGTGGATTTTTGGTGCAGTAGTCCCAAGAAGGTCATTTCCCAAGAAAATTGTTCACATATGAACCAAATAGTAGTCAAGTGTAATATTCAGGATTATTAGGTGATCCAACTAGACAAATAGATGTGAAAAGGACAAGGGGTTTGGAGGTCTTTGCTGGATCACAGGAGAAATCTAGAAAGAAACTGACTTCTTTCTGACAGAGAGATAAATACAGTTTGTTTTAACTGGTGGTTTAAGCTCCTGACTGCAGAACCAGAGGTTGGGAGATTGATTCCCCACTGTGGCTCCTGTAAAGTAAAGCCAGCCTGTGTGGCCTTGGGCAAGCTGCACAGCCTCAAAATGCCCCCTGGAAGAAGGGGAATGGTAAATCACTTCTGTGCACCTTCTACCTGGAAAACCCTGAAAACAGATGCCATAAGTCAGCATCTATTTGATTCTGACTTATGGCATTATTATTATTTACCTTGTGTCACTTAAACATGTATATAGAAATACTATATTAAGCAACAACCTCTCCGCTTTGTGCATAATTATGGCAAAGCTTGTTGTTGTTCTGTGCTGTCATGTCACTTCCAACTTGTGGAGAATTGATGCCCGAGGTCACCTTTTTAAAGCATCCTATTCCTGACACTTGATGCATCTGCTAATTGGTTTCCTGCAACGCTGGAGTGCTAATGCCTATTTTCTAGACAGTACCACTAAAGAAAATTGGATGGACCATGAAACACCTATTTTAAACCATTTTATGACCATTTTCTAAAATAGCTATTTAGTGTTTGGAATGAGTCCCCCTAAATTTATCCATATACATCCTGATATTGGATGCATTAACTCAATCAACTAGCTGCAATTTGTTGTTTATTCATTAAGTCGTGTCCGATTCTTCGTGACCCCATAGACCAGAGCATGCCAGGCCCTCCTGTCTTCCACTGTCTCTCAGAGTTTGCTCAAATTCATGTTGGTAGCTTCAATGATTCTGTCCAACCATCTCATCCTCTGTCGTCCCCTTCTCCTCCTGCCTTCACACTTTCCCAACATCAGGGGCTTTTCCAGGGAGTCTTCTCTTCTCATCAGATGGACAAAGTATTGGAGCCTCATATTCAGGATCTGTCCTTCCAGTGAGCACTCAGGGTTGATTTCCTTCAGAACGGATAGGTTTGCTCTCTTTGCAGTCCAGGGGACTCTCAAGAGTCTCCTCCAGCACCACAATTCAAAAGCATAAATTCTTTGGTGGTCAGCCTTCTTTATGGTCCAGCTCTCACTTTCATACATTGCTACTGGAAAAACCATAGCTTTGACTATGCGGACCTTTGTTGGCAAGGTGATATCTCTTCTTTTTAAGATGCTGTCTAAGTTTGTTATCACTTTCCTCCCAAGAAGCAGGCGTCTTTTAATTTCGTGGCTGCTGTCAGTATCTGCAGTGATCATGGAGACCAAGAAAGTAAAATCTGTCACTGGCTCAATATCTTCCCCTTCTATTTGCCAGGAGGTGATAGGACCAGTGGCCATGATTATACAAATCTTATGCAATGTGGATAGGATTCCTCTTCTCTCTCTCTCTTAGTATATATGTATGTACTGTATACTGTAAGATATTTGCTTTGAAGAGTGGCAGGGCATGTCAGAGCATAATCTAGTAATAAATTTAAAAGACAAGATAAAGCATCATAACTATCTTTGATTAGTGTGGTAAAGCCACACTTGGAGTATTGCGTACAGTTCTGGTTGCTGCACCTTAAAAAAAGGCATAGTGGAACTGGAAAAGGTGCAGAAGAGAGTAACTAAAATGATGACTGAGCTGAGCTTGGAAAGGCTGCAGTGTCTGGGTCTCTTTAGTCTAGAGAAAAGGCACCTGAGGGGGGACATGACTGAGACATATAATATTATGCAGGGGATGGATAGAGTGGATAGAGGGAAGCTCTTTTCCCAGTCACACAATACCAGAACCATGGACACCAACTCAAATTGAGTGTTGGGAGAGTGAGAACAGACAAAAGAAAATATTTCTTTGCCCAGCATATTTTTAGTCTGTGGAACTCCTTGCCACAAGATGTGGTGATGGCATCTGGCCTAGATGCCTTTGAAAGAGGATTGGACAGATTTCTGGAGGAAAACCCCATTGCAGGTTACAAGCCATGGTGGGGGTATAGAATCTCTAGGCTTAGAAGGAAGGGACTTACAAATGCCAGATGAAGGGGAGGGGTATCAGGAGATAAATATCTAGTTGTCTCGTGTGTTCCCAGAGGCATCTGGAGGGCCCAATGTGAGACATAGGGAACTGGATGAGATGGGCCCTTGGCCTGATCCAGCAGGGCTCTTCTTATGTTCTTTTGATTATCTCACAAGCTTGCAATCTAGAACTGTGGGATATTTATTCATTCACACCTATTTACAAACATTATGTGAAATATTCTTCACACATTCCATTGGCTCATTGTAATGTTCCCCCATTAGTGGTCACAACAACTAGATAGGTGGGATATAAATAGAATGAATAAATAAAATAAATTAGTTCCCGATTGTTTGATACTAGAGATGAGCATGAACGACCAGTTCGGTGGTTCATGCCCGTTTCTTTTTCAGCCAAACAAGTGTTTGGCGCTTCCCAGATCTGCTTCCTCTGGTGGGTGCCATTTTAGAGGCAGTGCCCCAGCTTCCCTGCCCCACTTCCTCTGGGCGCTCCCTCTGCATGGGCACCTGTGGGGGGAGGCGGGTCTGGAAAGTGCCAAACACCCATTTGGTTAAAAAAAAAAAACTGGCCTGAACAGCCCTCTGTTTGATGCCCCTTTGACATGATGATATTTGTTACTGTTTTCTGTTTCAGTATTTGACATCTGGCAACTGATATTTAAAGTGTTAGCCAGCATGTAGTGGTAGCCAGTATTTGGAGAGTGAGGATGGCTGACATTCATCAGTATATCTCAGCCATTTTCTTCCCTCTGGGAAATCTTTCCCTCTCAAGCTGTGGTTCCAGGTCCTTTTTCTCTGCAAGGAAAAAAAGCAGCTCATAAGGAAAGATTCTGATATGAAAAATAGTGAGTTATTTTTTTTTTTAAAAAAGGGGGGAAGTTGCATGATAGCATACACTTCTTTTAGCACCAGTTGTTCCAATTCAAAAGTATTCTATCTCTAACCAATTTTCAAATCATTTACATTACACCAGAATTAACCATATATTCTCTCTATTTTTCAAAAATTATTACATGAGATTATTTTATACTGAGATATAATTCTCTTCATGATTTGCAAGAAATATTTCAAACTGTGGAAATATTGCTGCACAAGAGCAAATCAGCATTCTGTAAGGCAATTCTAAAAATGGGAGCAGCTCAAACAAAACGAACTGCAACTTATTAAACTGGGCTTCAGATCAGCATCAAATCTGGCACAGTTGTAGCAGTTGTAGCAGTCTGCTCTTGTGGTTATATGCCATCAAGTCACCTCTGATATATACATGAGAGATCTGCAGAATGTCCTGTCCTCAACAGCCCTCCTCAACTCCTGTAAAGTCAAGCCTGTAGCTCACTTTGGTGAGTGAGTCCATCTTTTATTGGGTGTTCCTATTTTCCTGTTGCCTTCAACCTTTCCCAGCATTATTGTCTTTTCCAGAGAGTCTTGCCTTCTCATGCTATGTCCAAAGTAAGACAGCCTTAGTTCCCTCACTTTTGCCTCCAGATACAGTTCAGACTTGATATTATCTAAGATCCACTTGTTTGTTTTTCTAGCAGCTCAGGGTATCCATAAAGCTCTCCTGCAGCATTATATTTCAAATGGTTCATTTTTTTCCTGTCAGCTTTCTTTACTTGCAGTTTTTATACCTATACAGGGTGATTGGGAATACAAGAGTGTGCATTGCCTTGGTCTCCAGTGACACATCCTTACACTTGATATTTTCTAATTCCTACATTACTGCTCTTCCTAGTCTCAGTCTTCTTCTGATTCCTTGACCGAAGTCTCCATATGGATTGATGAACCAAGGTATACAAAATCTCTCACTATTTCAGTTTCTTCATCGTCAATATTAAAGTTGTGTGGTTCTTCTGTAGTCATGATTTTTGTCTTCTTCATGTTTAGATACAGTCCTGCTTTGGCACTTTCTTCTTTCACTTTTTTTAATAATAATTTCAAGTCATTGCTGCTTTCTGCCAGTAAGAGGGTGTCATCTGCATATCTTAATTTATTGATGTTTCTTCTGCCAGTTTTCATTCCTCCTTCATCTGAATTGATTGGAATGTAGATTGAACATTCCCAATCTGTTGGCTGTTGTTTTGTTTTCCATATTTGTTGACATATTCTTGTTAGGATTTTGACAGATCCTTACTCTGCAGCTTGAAATAGTTCTATTGGTATCCCATCTGCCTCTTGTGATTTCTTTCTTTCTACTTTTCTTTTTCCCATGTTGTTATTTTCCTCTATCTCTTTGTACTGGTTACTACAATAATTCTCTTTGTCTCTATGTGACAGTTACTGAAAACCTCCATTCAGGTTTTGACCATTTTTTTTTGACACATCTTTCTTTTGCTTCTCAACTGTCAATAATTTTAAATTTTCTTCAGTTATCCATCATGGTTTTTCTATTTTCTACAGGAAATGTATTTTTTGCATTCTTCCCTGATAACATATTTGTTCTTCTGGTTCAAGGTCAATTCAGATTAGTAATGCAAATTTGTTCATTTAAATTCATCTGGAATGTTGTCTATATTATATTTTGGCATTGCAATTCTTTTAGTGTTCTTTTAATGTTCTTTTTCAGCTTTACTGTAGTGGTGGATATTAATAGTTCATGATCAGTACCACAATCCAGTCTGTTTTTTGGAGGGAGAATAGGGTTTCTCCATTTCCTGCTTCCAGTTGCATAGCCCATTTGATTTCCGGTGATGTTCGCATGTACAGCTGTCTATTCAGTTGCTTGAAGCAAGTATCTTCACTTCACAGATTGCTGGCTTCACATATCTCTATGAGTCATTTTCCTGCATTATTTCTGTCTCCTGGACAACATTTTCCAACCATATTTGGTTCTGTTTTGTTCTCTACTTTCTATGGAATTTGATTGATATAATTTGATCAGACTTTGCATTATAGTCCTTAACTGCTTGTGCTGCATCTGTACCTGTGTCACGAGTAATGGAAATATACCCAGAAAATGTGTTTCATAACTCATTGACTTTTTATTTTAGAAACATCTATTAGGACCTTAGTAGAGAACCTTAAGAAGGCACATGAAATAGCTTGTCACAACACTGCTGTTCCTGAAGCACTACAGTATTATTTGCAGAAAGCAGTTGATGAAACAAGAAAGCTGAACTTTTGCTCAGCAACACCAAGTATTAACAGGTAACACGACTTACTCCTCACCTTTATGTAGAAGTTACTAGTTTGGGGCTGTTTCAAAGTGATAGAGGCCACACTTTGAAGAGATACAGGTTACAGACTGGGGCTGGGGTCAAAGAAGCTAATTTGCATAGCTTTTTAAAAAATATATATTATTTTGAAAATCCAAAGGTTTCACTGAAAATTTGGTTGAACAATTAAAAAAAAAAATTCAGAAAACTTCATTCATTGTCTAATGACCAGATTTAAAAGGAAAAGAAGATGTGTGATGGTAAGAGGAGACCCAGGTGCTGATGGGAACTCTAAACAAGGTAAAATTGCCACTCATATGCCTTAGAACATAGGTCGGAGAACAGGGGTAAATTACCCCAAATGGGGTAAAAGTGAAAATCCTGGGGGTAATGAGCAGGGTGCTACCCCCCTCCCACCCCCCCACACTCTGCAGCCAAACCTCAAATTGTAAGCCATCTCTCCCTGTTACTTCCTTGGTTGCAGCAGGGCAATTGTAAATCCTCCGTTAGTTCATAGATCGGAGATAAGCCTCCTTGATTGGTTGCAGCTGTGGATTAGCCCCAGGCAATCAATCAATCCATCCATCCAGGGTTTCTAAATGACTGCTTCCTCTGGAAATCTGCAAAGAAGCAGCAGGAGGGAAAGGATCAAGGAGCAAGCAAGGGAAGGAGGGAAGAAAAGTGTGAGAGACCAGGACTTCATCAAGCTTATTTAAATGTATGTAGAAAATGGAGGGAGAGAGAAAATGGAGGGAGGGTGGATATGTGTGTGTGTGTGTGTGTGTGTGTGTGTGTGTGTGTGTGTGTGTGTGTGTGTGAGAGAGAGAGAGAGAGAGAGAGAGAGTGAGAG